AAAGGCAGGAGTGAGCAACTGTAAACCAGAAAAATAATTTAAGTTAATTAAATTGTCTGATATTCATTTCTATGTGATTACTATAATACTGACATATTTGATATTTTCAGCCAGGCACTCAAATTTTGTGTAATTATTAGAAATACATAGGACTACTGCCCTATATTGATCTTCCCACATTGCTAATTGAGTTAAAAATCTAATAGGGCCAAGGGGTGAAAGAGATAAGGAGGGAGCATAGGGGTAAAGAAGATGGTAGAATGAGATGGATAAAATTATCCTGAGTACATGTATGAAGACACAAATGGTGTGAATATACTGTATATAAAACCAGAGATATGAAAAATTGTGCTCTATATGTGTAATATGAATTGTAATGCACTCTGCTGTCATATATAACAAATTAGAATAAAAAATGAATAAATTTTAAAAACTTAAGTTACTTATTGTTTCTCTTTTTACTTTTTAAAATAATTTAAATCAAGAACCATGAAATTATCTAAGTGTAATTCTCTTATTATATATTCATATCATTAAGTTCTTTATTTATGAGTCAGGAAACATTTTTTGATTTTAAAAATACAGTTTTGTAGGACTATGACATATTTCCCAAATAATAAGTTGTTGTAGTTATTTAGAGAATCTCTTTTTTTGAATTATGAGATATTATGCATAAAGCCATTTTTATTTTTTAAATTTCAATTGGCATACTTTGCTTTATGAACTATTAAAATTAAATTATAGTTAGAACATTTTAAAGTTATTTATTTTAATTTGAGATCTTTTTCTGTGATCTGATACTGTATATAACCAGACATTTTATTCTAATAACCAGTAAAGCATCAGAGTGTGTAATTTCTATCATAGATATTTGAATATGATTTTAGTTGAATTCCGAGGTTTATTATATAAAGTTTATTGACTAAAATACACTTTTTCTAATGTAGAAAAACAGTGTGACATACTAATAAAGACCTGAACTTTAACATTATTGAGGCAGAAACTCAAAATACTGTCCCATCATTCATAAGTTATTTCTGAAGGCAGATTTATGTTTCTTAAAATGTTTGGCTCTTCATCTCTAAGTTAAAAATAGCTTTCATTTAAAAAATATTATAGGGGAAAAACTATGTTTTACATAGTTGTGAACACAATACGTTATATTATGAGATTATTGTTTTAAGTTAATATCACTCACATTTAATGTGATATTGGTGAAATTAATATAGTTGAAATAAAGGAATAGGGTATTTAATACAGAGTTCCATACTAAAAAGTTGCTATAAATCAAAATTTAGTATCATTATACTCTTAGAGCGTATGTGAACATGTATATACACATAAATAAATGCAGTCCTTATGACCTGTATCTAGGCATTACATCCACAAAGGTGGCAAGGGCAAAGGTGAAGGTTAGAGTTAAAGAAAACTTTTTAAAATTTATCTGCAATGCTATGCTGTTTTACAAATGTACTCAGGGAATTAAAAGAAAAAAATGGTGCTAGTAATGATTAAAGAATCCTATTAAAGTTGTCATAATGATTAAAGGACCAATATATGTTCGTGTCTTTTTCTATTAGATTTTCTGTTTCATTTTAAAAAATATAATAGAAAAAGACAAATTCACAATCATATCACAATGGTATTTTTAGAAGAAATTTGAAATTACCTCTAATATGATAAAACAAATGGTCATGAAAATAAAAAATTAATCTTCAAAGACACACCAAAGTCGGGGGGGGGGACATATAGTTCCTGATTTCAAAACTTACTTTAAAAAAATTTTATCAAGCAGAGTAGTACCAATGTAATGGCAGACAAATAATAGCAATATTGTAGAGTCCAAAAATATCCAAACATATATTCTTTTTTATGCAAATATGAACAGATAATTTATTTAAGAAAGTAGTCTTTTTTTAATAATTTTTATTTATTTTTATTGTTTAATTTTCGGTGGACACAACATCTTTGTGTGTATGTGGTGCTGAGGATCGAACCCGGGCCGCACGCATGCCAGGCGAGCGCGCTACAGCTTGAGCCACATCCCCAGCCCGAAAGTAGTCTTTTTGACAAATAGTCCTAGAACAACTAGCTAAGTATATTTTTAAGTTACAAAGAATTAACCCCTACTTATGCTGTGTAAAAATAACTTAAGGTGGGTCAACTTAAAAATGGAAGTTTTTATATTCTTATATAGAACTTGCATTTTTCATAATATTGAAGAATACATGTGAGTTTTTGGATTACAGTGATTTCTCGGAAATGATCACAAAAGCATTAAACATGTCAAAAAGATGCAATGTAGTTTATTAAAAATAAGAATTGTATGTTAATCTATAAACATTACTAACACCTTAATAGAGTGTCACTAATCCAGTAAAATGACTCAAGATAAAAAGACTTAATGTCTAATGTTGGTTAGAATGTGGAGCAGCTAGAAATCTCTTACTCCTGGTTGGAATGTGAAATGTTATATTACTTTGAAAAACCATTTGGCAGACTCATCCTATGATAGAGCAATTTTTACTTTCTAGGTATCTACCCAGAAACATGGAAGTACATGTCAACAAAAAGATTTTTACACGAATGTTTGTACTTTTTATTTATAATAACTAAGTACTTGAACACCATTAAAGGTCCTCCAATAGGAAAATGGATAAACCAGTTATAGTCTATACATAACATAAAAAACTAAATCAGTAATAAAACAGATGTATTATTGAAACATGCAATGTGTATGAAACTCAAACACATTGCATTATTAAAAGAAGCCAGACACAAAAGAACAAGTACTGTTTGATTCATTTTTTATTGATATTTAGAATAGACAAAACTGACCATGGTCATGGAAATTAAAGCAGTAGCTGTCCATAATAGATGGGATTTGACTAGCAGTAGGCACAGAAGACTTTCTAAGGGGACAATATTTCATGTCTTAATTTATATGGTACTTATATACATTTATCAAAAAAATCTGATCGTACAGTTATGATGTGTACATTTCATGGTATATAAATTTTATCCTCCTACACCTCCCCCTCCAAAATGTATATGTATATGTATACACAGGTGGTGTATTGTATACACAGGTTGGAGAATCAGACATTCTGGATTTGAACTCAAGTTTCTCCACTCACTGAGATATTAGGCAAGATATTCAACCACAGAGAATTGAAGTTTTGCGATCCATATTGTAGAGATAATAATCCCATGTCAGAGTCATTATGTGAATCAAAAAAGGTAATATATACAGAATACTTACCAGATAGTTTCATGCTTCATAAGTATTTGTTGTTATAAAAAGAGAATATGATTGTTAAAAAAGTCACTATCATAAACAATATGAAGTGGACTATTGTTAATGATGTATCATCAACATTATCATTTAAAGGATTATTGTATACACAGTGAGAATTTGAGGATAACACAATGACTCATTAAAAGGAAACATTGAAACCATGATTTAAAAAGGAGAAACAATAAATCACAATGAAATATAAATATTTTTATTGTAAAGTAAAAACATGTTACCCCAATTTTTTACATTAGAAACAAAAAAATATGTTGAGAATCACACAACCTATCATTATCACTTTCACTACTTTTAAATATTACATATGATCCAAGTATGTACCACAACTAATTTCTTTCCTTAAATATTTTTCATTGGCTTGAATAACTAAGCATACATAAGTTGGTATCTGGCATTTTCATTTCATTGGTATTTTTAATGTAACTTATCATAGTTTATTTTCTTGTCTTTTTCCTACATTTTTGTAAGACAACTGGGCCTTCTATACAATTTTATGTACATATTTTGCATGTTTTAGTTAGCTCAGTTAAGCACCATAAATATTTTCTCATAGCTAAAGCTCTCCTTAAACAAATTTTGAGCTCCAAAAATTATGTTATCAATTAAATAGTCTAAGCTTAATAATAAATTATGTTTTTTACATTAGGTTAATCATAGTGTATCACGAAGTATTAGAAATTCAGTAGATTAATTAAAGCATAGCCTTTTCAATACTGTTTCTATCGGGTTTTCTGTCATTAAAACATTATACTTGTCTTCTTCAATATGTTTGCCATACTTTTATTCTAATTTTTTAAATGTTAACATAGTAAATAAATATATTTTTTAATGTGGACTTCATGATAGACTCCATGAAAATTAGTGAAGATATGAATGGAGAGAGAATGAGTTGGTGGACTTTCTGGTGGATATTTTTGGCAGTTTCTAGGTGATGGATCATAGATGGTAAATTATTTACCAGGATGAATTCAGATGACAAATATATTTTGTTCAATCCACCTTGCTTTACAAAAATACAAATGGTTCGCTTTCACTTAAAATTGGGAGATCTCCCATTACAATTCGGGTTTCTGACCTCATCTTGCATTCTTAAGACCTGACCATTCTGGATTGGAATTATTCATTTCTACCAGACAACGATTAAGTGGAACTGAACAGAACTTGCCTCATTTAAAGAATGTGCTCCTCAATTTTTCCACAGACTCCACCCAGGTGGCCTCATTCAGGTTACCTGCTCAGCATTTAGCCACATTTTCTCACTAGGGAAAAAAAAAAAGAGCAGAGCAACAAGAGAAATTGAACTTAGCATTGGGTTTTCATTTAATAGGCACTGAATATTTGGGGAGGGGAAGAAAACAACTAGGAAAAAAAATACAATAAAAGAAATAAAAAGACATAAAGAAGGAATTCTTGCTTCTAAACTCAATAGCTATTTATTCGTGGTTCATTAATGGCCTCCCCCCCCCCCAGACACCTAATTGTCTTTGTAGCCATTGAATTAATGTTAGCATGACCTCCTTCACTTATTTACTCATCCCTGTCCCTATCTATTGCTCCTTTGAAGTACCTCCTATGAATGTCTTAGAGTACCTCATGTGAATGTGTTCTATTAATTTAAAGTACAGTTTGGCATATTATGATTAAAATGCAAATATTTTTTGTTTGTTTGTTTGTTTGTTTTGTAAAGGCTGAAGAGATAACTTTAACAATTGGCCAAGCATTTGACCTGGCATACAGGAAATTTCTAGAATCTGGAGGAAAAGATGTTGAAACAAGAAAACAGATTGCAGGGTTACAGAAAAGAGTGAGTAAACTAAGCTTGTTGTTTCACATTTGTATGCTGTAAGTACAGGGAAGCTTGCATATCATCAAACAAATTTAGAAAGCCTGCCATTAAATTTCCCCCACACTGATTGGAACTGCTTTCACTGTGTTCCTATAATTTTTCATTCCTGATCCCCTGCACAGTTTTTAACTATTTTATATTGAATTCCCACAAGAACTTAGTGTTCTCATGTGACTTTGCTTCACTTCCTGATGCTTCTCATGGGGATCAGAGCAGCAGAAGCAGCAGATGCTGGGTAAGTGGTTTCCCATGCAGATCAGATTCCTTTGTAATTAAATTACACCCTTTCTCCACTCTTCAAAACATCATAGGCAAGTTTCACTGTCTTGTGGTTATACTCCAAGATTATGGGTATAGATTGCACAGTGCAACAAGAAAACACAAAGATGACACATTAGGAACATAAAATTTGCACACACATAAAATGTATTTTAAATTGAATTTATCTTTCCAGTGACCTAGAATCCTCTATAATTCCTATTTTGTAAAATAATTTTCTCCCCTGTGCACAAAAGAGTATATTAAAAATACATATGTAAATAAAATAAAATGTTATTTGTTAATGTAGTCAATGTAATAGCCAATATTTACCAAGAAATACTTCTGGAAGTTATTCAGTACTCATTTGCTTTTTTAGATCCAAGACTTAGAAACAGAAAATATGGAACTTAAAAATAAAGTACAAGATTTGGAAAATCAGTTGAGAATAACTCAAGTATCAACATCTCCAGTAAGTGTATTGAATATGTGTATGCTTTCCTTAAAACAAGATTATATGGTGATAAAACATTCTCTGAGTTGTAAATTCTGCAACAAATTATAATACTTTGTGTTCCATAATTTAAAATTAAACACAGATAGCGATGAAGTGTGATAAAACAGGATAATTAAAAGTTAAAATTGCCTCTGGGGTTCAGGCCAGAGTTGTTTTCCATGTTGCTCTTTCCCTTATGTTTTCTAAAATAATTCAACCTCCCATGTGGTCCTAAGGTTTAAGATTATCTTTCTGTTTGTGGTTTATTCTTTCTTTCGTTCTTATTGATTAGCATTTACTGAGGTCAGTTTTAATGACCCATGCCTGTCTACTACTGGAGTGTGGAACTTTGTTATAGGAAATGGACTGATACCGAGACTAAACACGGTTTCTTATATTACATGGCAAGCGTTCCCACTGGGAGTGAGGCAATTTTATTTCAGACACTGAAATAAGTGGTTGCTTCTGCTGACAACACTCAAGTACTTGTAGTTAAATTATTTATTTCTGACTTGCCACAGTTTTGAAATCCTTTTCCCAATACCATGTATGACATCATTATTATTTGATTTGTGCAGAAGGATATATTTTGAAAGTAATTGAAATTGAAAACAATATTTTTTGTAGGCAAAATGTATTTAGGACTTTTTTTTTTCCTTTTGAATCCTCTGTACCACTGTAATTAATCTCTGTTAATGTGTATATTTTATTGTTATTATTAAATATTTAAAATTAATATATAACTTATTGAATGATACTATTAACTGAAACACAATTGTGGTCTATGTAAATTTTTGAAAGAATTTTGAAAATTTTCATATGTAGGTATGTAATTTTGTTTACATCTAAAAACTCAAATAGTTCACCAGCTCATCATTATGAAAAATGCTTCTATAAAAAGCTGGACTTATGGAGCTGGGGTTGTAGCTCAGTGGTAGAGTGCTTGCCTAGCATAAGTGAGGCACTGGGTTCAATCCTCAGCACCACATAAAAATAAATAAATAAAAATAAAGGTTAAATTCTTAAAAAGAAAGAAAGAAATTGGACTTATGGCTTCAAATGTGGCATGCCCTGGAGATGGGTCAAAAAATTTTTTTTAGTTATAAACTCACACTTTCCATCATTCACACTGAGAGAGTTGGGCTTTCCATTGCTTGTCATAGGTTTTGTAATGTGGGGCTGATGTGGCTGAAAAGACAGAGGTTCCCAGGAAGGTACCTGTGTAACTATGAGAAGCACATTGTGGTGGCGGGGTATCCTCTTTGAGTTCTGGCTTTATTATAATTACGCCTTCCTAATTTTTCTCTTCACTGTTTACTGCTCTCAAGGATTACAATTTTTCTCTTGCCTCCTTCTTCCCAAGTGACAGAAAATTCGCTCCAATACTTTCTTCAACTTTTGGTCCCCAAATGGAATGTGTACCCTTTTTGTTGAGACTTTATATAAACTATTCTATGAGACGAAGTATAAAAATAAAGGGGAAGTTACTTTTTCAAGGAGTCTTAAAGACAGTTGTTTGTAGAATCTATGACAAATGCTTTTATATTGGCAGAGGTATAAAATGGATGCGTCATCATTTTGGATACAGAAGCAGAGCTTTTCCACTGTGTTTCCACTTTATTTGAAGAAAGAACCCTGAGGATACCATGTTGAGGGGCAAGATTTGGGAGGATTAGAGGGATTTGAGGCATGTTAATAAAACTGCTTCCCCCTCCTTTTTTCCTGTGTCCTCCAAATTGTCAATGTTCAGGAATAGAACTGGTGTAACTAATGAGAGGATGGGTTAGGCTTGGTCCTCATTATCTCTTGGGTTTACCAACTCACCTTCAGAAATGGTAAGGGGTAAAAGGAATGACGCGATGATCATTGCATTCGTTTTTTTGACCACTTGACTGAAATAGCTATTATATGTGGTAAGCAAGAAAGTTAATGTAAATGAAAGACAGAATGTGAGCATATTCATTTATTCAGAAGTTTTCATTTGTAGAATCAGTTATACAAAACAAATAAAAACCTATTAAAATAGCTAGTCATTAAAATGAATTGGCTCTTAAAATATAAGCCCACTTAATAATTATTTTAGGTGTTGTGTTCATCTCAGATTGAATCTATCTGAATGCATGCTTCAAAGACTACAGTTAATAGGATGAATCAAAAGAAGAAATCATTTTCTCTGCATTTTACACTTAATTCTCATGGGTAGAAAATAATCATTGTAAAAATAACTCAAATTCTAACTTTGTAGTATATTTATATTCTTTTGCCACAGTAATATCTCTGTGTTTTTTCTTTACCTTAATCTTAATCTTACATGATTAAAATAAAAAAAATTTAATCATGTAAGATTGAATCTCATACACTAGAACATACACATCTTCTCTAAGACAGAATCATGTTAAATAAGATAGACGTGGCACAGAAAGACAAATACTGCATCATGTCACTTATATGTGGACTCTAAAAAAGTCTAACACAGAAGGAGAAAACAGAATGATGGTTACAGCCTACAGAGGTGTAGTGGGGAAGGCTGAACAAGGTGAGACTTGAGTCAAAAGAAACAAAAATTTCAGTTTGACAGGAAGAATACTATACAACATGGCACCACCAATAATCCTTGAGAATTGCCAGGGTGTTTTAAATATTCTCACCACAAATAAATATGTATGTGAACAAAAGAAACAAATTATGTGCCTGTGAACAAAGGAAAATAGAAATTATTTGATTCTCAAAATAAAATGACCTCAAGAATATTTTTAAACTGCTAAAATTTAAATGTGCAATTAAGTGTCAATGTTTAAAATGTAAATTATTGACATAACTGATTAAATCAAATGGTTTTGAAAATATTGTTACAGGCATTTGTTGATTTGCTCCCATTTTTTAAACAGATTGTGAAGAAACACGTTTGCCTTTCATTTACTAGCTTAATTATGTAGCTGTGAAATAAACTAATGTAACACTGAGTGCAAGTATATTTATTTCATATCTGTTAAAATGAGCTACCAACTTTCTGATATTAAAATTAAAAAAATAAATTTATCTACAGTTATTCAGTATGAAACGTTGCCAATTTAGAGGAGTTGTTGATGATTCAAGCAATTGAAGTTAAATTTGAAAAAGACAATGAAAATTGTAAATAATTAGAGTATAAACTTAAAATATGAGCATCTCTTGTTTAATTTCTTGCCATCATGTTGGAGCAATCAAATTTCTTTTGAACTAAAAATGTTTTACATCAGTTTTTTCTTATGAAATTTGAATATCAGTTTTACAGAATCTAGAGCCAGAACACAAAGCACCTCACAGAAGCCACCCAAGCTGGCAGAGTGACTGTTCATTGAGCTTATGACTCTGGAAAGGAGACCTTGTAGGTTTTGTTTGTTTTCAGTTCAGCGGATAGAATTCTCCAAAACAGTCAAGTTCACATACTTTGTTTCAAGGATTAATCAGCAATCCATATTTTAGGGAAGAATTGAAATGAATAATGAATCCCATTATGTGCACTGAAATTATGATATAGATGGGTTTATTTTATACAATTAATTTGTCCTAGTATTCTCCATGAGCTTTCAGTATGTTATGTGACATGGGCTCCCAAGACTGATGCTTCTTCACCACCGACCAGCCTAACCCAGAATGTTTACATGTCTCCTAAATACCACCAATTGGTTTAGTCATGGGTTTCTTTTCTGGCAAATGAAATATCTTTTGATAATACCCATAATACATACCTCTGCAGCACACTGAGATTGTGGAAATCTTTTCACTGGTTTTAGAAATTGGGTCCTTATTTTAAACGATCATTTAGATACACTGAGAAATTTCCGTTACTTGACTGTGCTGTTTGCTTTTTGCTGTGTTCTAGTGGTTTGGCAATAGATTAGAGGTTGGGTTTTCCACCATTTGGTTCTAATTATCTAGGAACAATCTGATTTCCATTTATTACATTCACATGGCAGTGTTGCCTGTATTTATATTAGAAAAAGGGTTTATTCTGCCCTCCTAGCCTCATGAACACCTCCAGAAGATTGTTCCATTATAAGATGTGGGCATAGAAAGTTAAATCAAATTGTTCCTTTTGACTCTTACGTCTGAGTGCTTACATTTAACTTTGCTGGCTGTAGAAACTTTTAACCAAATCAGACTATTGCCAGGAAGTTAAATGAATAAAATTGTAGTTCTACGGAATACTGTCTTTTCTATTGCAGAGTTAAATAAACATTCTCTTTCAGTTAAACCCAATATTAGATAAAATTCTACTTTTATGTAATCAACTATGCAGCCCCTGATTAGACTTGATAAGACAATTATGACCTAAAACGTGTATTTCACTGTGGGTAAACAAACCTGCTTGTTTATTTTTTCTAGTGCTTTCTAAACTACTCTTGAAGTCAGGATGGGCAAGAGCAGATTGTGAAAAGTCTCAATTACACAACAAGCCAATGCAAATCTTTAAACAAAGGCATAAATGTTAAACATGAACATTGGTACAAGAACATTTGGTGCCCACAAAAAGTGAATTACCAGTCCACAACTTCACTCTCATAATTGCTAGTTGTGTAAAAAATGATTCAAAACGAGCAAATTCCATTCAATGAGAAGTAAATCCATTCTCATTTCATTTGTGACTAGAAGTACCTGGTCAAGTCTTATAGTCACTCCTTCTTTCAGGTTTCTCTGTTCTTTGTGGATAATCATCTCCACTTAATTTGCAAGGTCCTTGTGAGAACTATTCGATAGTAGGTCTTACAACTAAGAAAGAATATAAGCCAGATATGGACCTAGAAAACTGAAAAACAAATAAACAAAAAATATTCCTAGTGCTCTAAGTTTAAACTGGAAAATTCATTACATTTGAAACTTATTTAAGAAGTGATGTTGACAACATGGCATAAGAATGAATTTTGGAAGTATGAATCTGCATGACAATCTAGAAAGGTCTGCTAGAACATTGTACACTACCATTATATTGTCCCATCATCAGAGTTTTTTTCATATTCTTTTAACTAGAAAAAAAAGTAAAGTATCTCTGTTTAAATTATAAATTTGAAGGAATTCACTTTTTAAACTTAATCCTAAATAGAATTTTGAGTCTTCACTATTTTCATAGCTGTTTTATCTTGGAAATTGTTTGTTTTACATTTAAAATGTATTTGGGGATTTCTATTGCCAATGCAACTTAATAGCACTAATAAAATTTCAGTGTCAATATTTCCATAGATATTATCACAAAACTTTTTAAACTTTAATTCAGTTTTTGCTTTAGTTTAAAAGTGCTCAGGATTGATTGATAGGATTCAAACACTGTTGTGGCACTTTACTACACTGAAACATTTACAAAGCTGTGCTATGGCCTAAATACACCTAAAGCCACACTTACTTAGAAAAAATAGCTACAAAACTTCAGCAACAACAAATATCAAATATTGACACTCATTATTAATATATCTTAATAACCTAAGAAATTCTGCAGAATTAACATGTAATAGGTAAGCACAGATTTTCCCTTAGCATTACATTTTAAATCCTGTGCATACTCCTGAAGATCATAACACTTGGAATTATAAGCATAAAGGGTGTGTTAAGCAATGGTGCCATGTGATCCTGAGACAGCCTAAAATATTTGGCTTCTAGCCATCTGTCAAAATTCTGACAGAAGAAACCCCCAAAAGATCAAGCTGTTTTTTATCTAAGCAATGTAATTAATTCTTTTAAAAAAAGAGAACAGTCTCAAATAGCTAAAAATAACTGCTAAAAACTAATAATAATTCCAGAAATCTTACACTTAGTCAAACCACAAAAAAACATTTAATCCAGTGACAAAAATGCTACTGTATACCATTTAGTTGCTATGTCAATATACTTATTCCTATTTAACACTGGTGAAGAATTAGGTGCTACTGACATATACTCACATACTTCAATGTGCCCGGCTTAGATTTCTTTCTTATAATGAAAGAGATATTACATCTAATTTCTTGACATGAATTATTCCTAGATTAGGGATCACAAACCCAAATGTCAGTAAGCCCAGACTGTGACAGAAGAGTGTGATATGGGCATTTAGAGGTAGCAATAAATTCGAGAGCACAGGCCCACTTCAGAGACTCAGTAGATAGTCAATGTCAGTCAGTGATTCTTGTCCAAGTCCGTGGGCCGACTTTATGTTGCTAAATCTCAAGGAGTAGTCTGAATTTTATGTGAAATCTCTTTATTTTACCTGGAAACAACTAATTCAGTATTTTAAAAGATCTACATGACCCAAACAGGGAGTAAAAAAAAAAAGCCAAATTACCAATGACACAATGAAGACCTGTGAGAGAGTGCTAATCTTAAACTCACAATACCCAAATTATTACATTACCAGATATGCCAACTGTATCCATTTTAAAAGTGAAACTGTCTTTAATTGGGGAATTTGAATACTTGATTATTTTCATATTATATACAAACATCATTTTTACATGTACCTTCCCACAGAAAGTAGTACTATGCGAATCCATAGTATTAACACCATGATAAAAATACTAGAGTGCTTTTGTATTAGGTTATGTTGGTCTTCAGTCTGTTTTGAAGCATCTAGTGAATATCTTTTGGCCATTATATGTCATAAACCAATATAGAATATTTCCATTTAATTTTTAATTCAGATGATACTAAGGATATTTACTACTTACTATTTTATTATACTTTACTAAAAATATGGACAACTTATGCTTTACATAAAGTATAGTAAATTTAGGCAAATATTTATTGAAATTTAATATGTATTCATAAAATACATACATTTATGTATATAGTACTCCAACATGTTTTATAGAGTATTTTGGAAAACAAAATTGCTGGCACAGGGAGCTTTTAATTGTAACCAGAAAATTATGGAGGCCACTAATGACAGAATCATTCACTAAAAGATATATGCCCAAAATGAATTTTTTAAATTATAGCCTGAATTATCCTTATATAGTTAAACAGATGAAGAAATATCACTATGGAGATCAAGAGGGAAGTCAATAATTTTAGAGCTATATATACATATTAATAGAGTGATATATAACTGAAATGATCAGAGATGTTTCTTCCTCACTGCACCCTTCGTTCAATGTAAATATTTCACTTTACACTGTCTCCTTTCCCCCTCTGCTTCCACAATGTGTAAAGAGGTGACTCCCAGGTAGAGGATGTCCCTCAAACTTGTTGGTCCCTTCTTTTTTTTTTTTTTTAAGAGGAAAAGGACTTTATTAAAAGACATGGGGTAACACAAAGAATGTACACGAAGACTAGAGAATGGGGTTGGGATGATGAAGCATTAATTGAGAAACAGCTAAGGTCATCCACTAAGGTCTCTTCTAATTCTAATTTTAGTTTGGTAACTCTTCACAATGAATCTTATCAAAATTGGCTGCCTCTAAGTCTTATTTGGTGTTGAAAAATCTTTGAAGTGTGACTGGCAGCTGGGGAATCCAAGTCCAGACCCACACCCAGTGTGTGATCTTTCAGCCTTGATCACCTAGGATTGTCAAAGGTCCCAAGCAAGCCCTCTGAGGAAGCTGCTCTCCCCATTCCATCAGGATCAGTGCACAGCTGGAGAGGAGTTTAGCCAAGCACTCGCCCCACTGGACAGCCATGCTTTCATGTATCTCTGCATTTTGATCATTTATTCAGAGGCCTCTTTACAGGGTCATTGGCTGAGACTGCCTTGAGTGCTTTTGCCCTAACTGCCTTTTTGTTCTCCTCTATGAGTCAATTGTTAGTACTTTTCTACTCCTAGCTTTACCCTTTTTGCTCTCTCAGGACCATTGGCCAACAACAGCGCAAAACCCTTAGGAACTTCTTGTTCAGGCTCCCTCAGCAATGAGGCAATGTCCCACTTCTGCAGCGATGCTTCTGAACTTTGCCCACAGCCATTTCATGGGGAAAATGGAGCATTGATGAAACAGGAACCTTCTTTCTGGCTTTGTACTAATGGGATCACAGTCAGAGTAAAGGCTTAATTGTTACTTTCATTTTGGCTTGTTTTAATTGACTTCTGTAGCATCTGGCAGGTCAGTGTTCTCTCCAGCTCAGCTCTTGAGAGCAGGTTTCTATATGGTTAGGGAAATAACCCCCAGAGCCTTCCAAAGACTGATATTCAGACCCAGTTCAGGGTATTATTTGCTTATTTTTTTTTAAATTATCTCTGTGATTTATTTGAGATTCTTATAGAGTCTCTCCCCATCTCCATTGTGCCTTGCCATTAGAAACTCCTCACTTTGTAAGGAAGGTCATCGTGACTGGATACTGTTCTGAATTTTGGCTATGTTTCTTAGTCATAGAAGAATAAGTCACAGATCTATGGGTCTTAATTCCTATTATAATAAAAACATGTTACTCTTGCCATTAGTAACATTGGAAAAGACTGATTTGAAGATTGAATCTAAAACACATAGTATAACCCATTTTTAAGAGAGTTATTCCTCCTTCAGTGACTAATCTTCTCTTATTGTAATAGTTTCTCTTTCCATCTCATTACCCCAAGGACTTCTCCAAAATAAAACTGGGCCTCTCCTCATTCCCTGCTCTAATCCCTTACTCTCAGGTCCTGATGAAAACAATATTCTATTTTAAATATCTAAACACAAAATATTTCCCTGAAAAACGATCAAGCTAAGCAAGTGAGAATCTTGAGAACCCTCACAGTAGGAGAAATCAACTTGAAGTACATGTTTTAATTTTTTAACATTATTATGAAATAATCATATTTTCACAAAACACCCTTTTTTACACATTCGTTTTCATGTATCCTTCCCATTCCTCCTTGCCTTCTTTATTCTCCTTAGTGTTTTTCTCTCTGTCGTTCTTTCGCAGCTGCTGCACAGAACGTCTGGTCATGAGCCACACAGGTTTCAGAGATGCTCATCCACTTTCTGGCGTAGTGGTGACGCTTCATCTCCCTGTCTAAACATGTCTTCCACTTCTGTCCCTCCTGTCAACTCGCCTGATTCCAGACTATCACTGGGACTGTTAATACCACCGCCTTCTAAAAGTGGCCTTCCCAGGCCAGTCAGTCAGCGCAGCATTTCAAGACCACATGTAAATTTTCAAAGCAGTAAATTTCTTTTATTATCCCCCTAATTTTTTATACTTCTAGAAATGTGCCATTTCTATACTAATAAAAAAGTCAGGTAGGTCTTGAATTAATGTGATGGAATAGGAGTCTCTGTGTGTGCCATGTTCATTTCTTTTGGTTCCCTGATATCAGAGTTTCAAATAGAGGGTGGTTATAATGTAGAAATCTAAAAGATGAAATAGGACAAGTACATAAAGTATCTGAAGGACCCACCAGTCACGGCAATTGGGAAATGAGGTCCTTGGTGATACAGGTACAAGCAGCTTCAGTAGATTTCAGTGCAAAAAGAACAAAGTTTAGATCGAAATTAAATAAGTGGTTGGAAAAGGAAAACTACTCTCTTTCAAGAAGCTTAGTCTTGAAGGGAGGAGAAAGAAAGACAATAGGCAGGAGGAGTAAAGAGTAAAGGCATTTTTGGTCAGTTTGCTTTGTTTTTAATGACAGGCAAGATTTAAATATTTTTATATCCTTAGAAGAAAGGAAGAAGATATGGAAGCCAGGGAGGTATGGGAAGCATATTATTCATGAATAAGAAGGAAGGGCAAGGGGTACAGTAATTCAATATTTAACAAAATGTGACACAATTTTGCTGCTTGAAGAAATGCACTTAAAATCATTTTAACAGAATCGGAAACCTTTCACTCTGTGTGTACACAATCAGCCTCATGTGTATTTCTTAAATCTCATGCAACATCAGTGAATCAGAAAAATGAGTGTAGTCTTAAATCTCTAACTTCAATAAGAACCACTTGAAACAATCCCTGTTCATGGTGTAGAGGAAAAGCAAATTTTTCCTGTATCCCTCTTCAGAAGGGAAATTCTTTTTCTTTCATTCCTGATCAGATGAGATAGTTTTCATAGGAGGTTACACACATATATATTTTTCCACTGGTTGGTAAATTGATGATTGTTTCATATTCATGTTACTTCTTGGCTATATTTTCATTTTTGTTTCCCTGCATTTGTTTAGTCCTGACAAACATTTATCTGATAATTCAATAATATTATTGGTATCTTGGTGATTATTAATTTATTTTATAAGGCACCTATTTATTATAGAAAACAAGATGAAATTTTTCAGAAATGAGATAAACTACAATAAATAACAATTTATTGTCATTGTACTTATCAATACAAATTAAAATATACTTTAGTTTATAAAAATGTATAAATTGTTCATTTCATATAAATCTTTGTACTTGGGAAGATGAGTTACTTACATTCAATTATTTCTATTTAAAATTGATAACCTTATACAAAATATATTACTGAAATCACTTTGTTATACATATAGTTTCTAACATGTTTCTAATTGACACAAGTGGAAATAATTTTAGGTATACAAAATTCTAGCATCTTGGGTATCCATATAAACTAGCATTGTCACCCTTTTTGCCATCATCTTTGAGAATATTGCAGACATTTTCCATTGCTTTCTTGCAAATGAGCATTTTACCACAGTTTGAGCCACATGAAATTGTTAATTTTTTGATTTTTAAAAATTATTTATAATCAGAGGATGAACTAGCCTATTTTAATATACCATCTTTGCTTGACTGCTGACCTATTGTCAAATTAATTGGGGTGCTTATTGAAGAATGTGTATTTTATTTTGTTTTATTTTATTGCATGATCTTAGAATGTCAAGTTATATGATTCAACAAAATTTGTTGTTTATATGTATTATTTGTGTGTATTGTTATACATTTGAAATACTTATTTGATAAGTGCTTATATGAAATGCCAACCTAATTCATATCATCTTCATTGCAGGCTGGCAGTGTAACACCGAAGTCACCCTCCACTGACATCTTTGATATGATTCCATTTTCTCCAGTATCACACCAGTCCTCCATACCTACTCACAATGGCACACAGCCACCCCCAGTACCTTCAAGATCTGCTGAGATTAGTAAGCTTTCTAAATAAATAAATATTTCTTGCTCTATTTGGATACATTTTGAATTTTAATTAACACTGTGAGAATTGCATATCTTCACAAGCTCACTAACAACTCTAAGTGTTATGTTTTTCTGTATGTGCCAAATGCAGCTAATTTACTTTATAATTCAGAGAGTACTACTAAAGACATCCTTGTTTGGAATTTGAACCTACTGAACAAACAATGATATTTTGGTGTAGGTTTACTTACATCATAATAAAATTGTTTAGTTATAGGTTTATTATACTTGAGATTATATCAGTAATTTTTTGTAAAAAATAACTGGAGGTAATAATTTTAGCTATTTTTTAACTTTATTAATAGATCCTAGTTTAAATATTACTGTTATCATAGACTATATAGGTATTTTTGGTGGAAAATGTATAAATTACATCAATTCTATGAATCAATTTATATCTTAATGCTATGTAAGTTTTGTTCCCCACTCTCAGGGTTTCAAAAATGCTTAAAAAACATTGCTTTTATGTTTTATTTTCAATGTATCTGGAAGAAACATCAAAGTACCTTTTTGCTAAGTTAAAAAGCATATAACAAATGTTCATTTTTGATATTTTAGCTGCATATTGATCTGTCCCTGTCAGAGAATATAAAAAAATAGTTTCCAGTGACCATAAATCAGTCACTAAGCCCAAAGGGAAACTGAAGAAAAGAGATCTTATGCTTATTGAATTCTTTCTCATTAACACTAATACATTTTGAATATAACTCTCAAGTTTTAGTTGAAGGCTTTAATATATGGCAGGACCTATAGTTTATTTCTTTTCACCTATGGAACACAACATCATGCATTGCTCATGTTGTGTACTTAATTCACTTACAGGACTTAAGTAAAATATTAGGGACATTTAAAATCAACTTATGAAAATATTTCAAACATCAACTCAAAATAGACTTTGAAATGGGCAAGAACTGGGGGGAAAATCCCCAAAAGAATAGGAAAGAAAAGCAAAAATAGACAAATGGAACTACTTTGAACTCAAAATTTTCTGCATAGCACTGGAAACAACAGAATAAAGAAACAACTTACAGAAAATATTTGCAAATTACATCTGGCAAAGAGTTAATATCTAGAATATGTTAGGAACTCAACCAATTAATAGCTAAAGGAAAAATGTAAAAATGGACAAAAGATCTACATAGACATTTCTCACAGGAAAACATACAAATGACCAATAGTTTATGAAAAAAACATTAAACCTTTCTAATCATCATGAAAATTCATACCAAAACCATAAGAGAAATCATCTCACTCCAGTTAAAATGACTGTTATCAAAAAGACAAAAGATAACAAGTACTGGAAGAAGGATAAAAGGGAACTCTTGCACATTATGTAAATTAGTATATCAAATATGGAAAACAGTAGGGATGTAACTCAAAAAATTAAAAATAGTAACGTGATCCAACAATCCCACTACTTGTTGTATATCCAAAGGAAATGAAAGCAGTTTGTCAAAGACACATCTGGACATCTATGTTTTTTGTAGCACAGTTCACAGTAGCCAATAAATGGAAAGAACTTAAGTGTCCATTAACGATGAATAGATTAAAAAAAAATGTGGTACATATATTCAATGGAATATTTTTCAAGCTTAAAAATGAATGAAACACTGATGTTTGGGGAAAGGTGGATTGGATAGAACTGAACATTATTATATTAAGTGAAATAAGCAAGGCACAGAAAAAAGAAGTAGCATGTGATCACACTCATATGTAGAATATTAAAAAGTTGATCATGTAGTAGTTGGCATTAGAGCTGTAGTTACTAGAAGTTGGGGAGAATAGGGAGAAGTGAGGGATGGGGAGAGGTTACTCAATTGACCCAGTTACAGTTTAATAGTAGTAGGTATGCTATTGTACAATACAGTGACTTCAGAAAATGAAAATGTGCTGTATATTTTAAATAGCTAAAAGAATATTATATTTGGAAATTCATATAACTAAGGAGGTGAAAGATCTCTACAATGAAAATTACAGAACACTGAAAAAAGAAGTTGCAGAAGATCTTAGATGGTGGAAAGACCTCCCATGTTCTTGGACAAGCAAAATTAATATTGTCAAAATTGTTGTACTACCAAAAGCAATATTCAGATTCAGTGCAATCTCCATTAATATAGAAGTGACATTCTTCACAAAACTAGAAATGTCAGGCCTAAAATTCATTTAGAAAAATTAGAGGCCCAGAACAACCAAAGCAATTCTAAACAAGAAGGGCTATGAAGGAGGCATAATAATACCCGATCTCAAATTATATTGCAGAGCTGCACTAATATAAACAGCATGGTATTAGCATCAAAATAGACATGAAGATCAGCAGAATAGAATAGAAGACACAGAAGCGAATCTCATAATTGCAGTCATCTGATACTTGACAAAGGTCCCAAAAATAATTGTTGGAGAAAAGATAGCCTTTTTAATAAATGATGCTGGGAAAACTGGATATTCATTTCTAAAAGAATGAAATTAGATCCCTATCTATCACCCTGAACAAAAGTCAAAGTGGATCAAAGACTTAGGAATTAGATCAGAAATGTTGAAAGCAGTAGAAAACGTAGGGTCAACAACCCATCATATTACTGCAGGCACCAACTAGGCACCAACTTCTTAACAAGACCCCTAAAGTTCAAGAAATAAAAATAAGAACCAATAGGTAAGATACCATCAAATTGAAAGCTTCTTCACAACAATGAAAATGATTAAGAGCATCAAGACACAGCCCATAGAATGGGAGAAAATCTTTGCCAGCTATTCCTCTGAATGGGATTAATGTCCAAAATACTTAAAGAACTCAAAAAACTTACAACATAAATACAGATAACACAATCAATAAATGGGCAAAAGAAGAAATTTCAAAGAATAAATACAAATGATCAACCAATATGAAAAAAAAATTTCAACATTTCTAGCAATTAAGTTTGGGATATGGAAATCAAAACTACACTAAGATTTTATCTTACCCCAGTCAGAATGGTAATTATCAATAATACAAATAAAAAATGCAGGTGAGGATTTGGGGCTGGGGGACTCTGACACATCGTTGATGGGAATGCAATTTAGTACTATCACTCTGGAAAGCAGTGTGGAGATTCTTCAAATTACTAGGAATGGAATCACTGTATGACCCAACTTTTCTTATTCCTTAGTTTATTCCATATAACTAAAATTAGTTTATTACAATGATGCAGCCACATCAATATTTATGGCAGCACAATTTACAATAGCCAAATTATAGAATCAACCCATCAATAGATGGATGGATTAAGAAAATGCTATATATATATATATATATATATATATATATATATATATATATATATAAGTTTTACTCAACCATAAAGAATGAAATTATGGCATTTGCCAAAAATTGGATGTAAGTGGAGAACATTATGCTAAGTGAAATAAATCAGATTAAAAAAAATGAAGGATTGAATGTTTTCGCTCATATGTAGAAGCTAGAGCACAATTTAAAAAAATGGTGAAGGGATCAGGTATCATAAAGATATAGGGAAAATCAGTGGAGCAGAAGGAGATCAAGAGGGATGAAAGAGGGGCAGGAAAGAAGAGGAAATGTGGAATGAAATTAACAAAATCACACTCTGTGCAAACATAAATATACTACAGTGAATTCCACCTTTATGTATATGTAGAAATTACCAGTCAGAAGTAAATAAATTAGAGAGTGAAAGGAAGATCAGTAGAGGAAGGAGAATGAGAAAGAGAGGGAAAGATTGGGGAACAGGAACTAAAATTGAGTACATAAAATTTCATGCATGTATGATTATGTTAAAATGAGCCCAACTACTATGTATAATGCTCTAACAGATATGCTTCATCTAATAAAAAAAATTGCATGATATACACACACACACAGTATTCCATAAATAAAATGTTTTATGTTTTTATTATCAGTTAAAATAAATTTAAACTAAACTATATATTGCAATACATTAGTTGACTTATATGTTTAATTGCTCTGGATATATTTTGTGCCAATGCAAAATTGAGGAAATAATTCATGACATACATATCATAGTGTGTTTTAGAAAATGTCCCCAACACCCTGATGTTATGATAGAGTGTTTTTAATTTGTTTTTTATCTTATGAGTGTGTCTGCATCTTTTTCTTTATCCTTGCCTTTCACACATTTAGACCTCCTCACAGATTCACTTATGTTCCCTAATTGTCTATAAACTCCGTGAATGAATGAACAATGTCCTTTCTTTGCTACTTTAAACCATTATCTAGGAAAATGCATGATATATGTGTTCAATAAATTTTCTGAATAGAGCAAAGAATGACTGAGTGAAGCACCACCTCTTAGTTTTTATTCGTTTACCCCTGCATCAGACTCAACTAATTTTAATTTTGTTTATAATTTTTGTTCTGAATTGATACCCATGTGAGCTGAACAAAAAAAAAAAAAAAAAAAAACACCAGAGAGTTCTGTAATGTTTATTAATTTACATGGAATTAGTCTCTTAATGTGCAAGGTGGTTTGTTCTTTAACTTGGAAGAGAATCATGGGCTCATGAGAATAAGTTGGGAAACCTCCTGACAGAAAAAAACAGCATGTCCACTCATACCACATACTCCCCAAAACCCACCTGAAATCTCTAGTGATTCTGTAGTTCCAATTTGAGAAAAGTCTATTTTATGAAAATCTCTATTCTCTCTGATCAGCAGTCTGTCATTTAGGTTAATCTGTTCTTTTAAACAAACACCTACAATGTGAAAAACACTGGGTCATGTACTTGTAGTATCATGGTTACCAGAACATGCTTCCAAACAAAATTTCCTCTGTTCTCTAATTTTTATTTATTGTCTGAGCCCTGTCAGACTGAGGGAGGGAGGTAAAAACAGTAACAGTATATTCATCAGTTACATAGAAAGTAACAATACATTCCCATTGTTGAGAATACTTCTGTTTTTAGAGTTTTGTCCCAATGTAATTGTTGAGAATGCTCCTTTCACTTTTAGAAGTGCCTTATTTGGATAATGAATTATATGTTCCCCTTATTTATATAATACTCACCAGTTCCAGAAACTCCCAAACATTTTACCAATTATTAACTTATTTATAACTCAAGAAACTGAAAAATACTTGGAACTGGGAAAAGCAAGGATCCTTCATGATGAGAGTGCCTGAGTGATTTTAGAGGAAATGATAAAAAGAAGTAGCATAAATATTACTTCTTATATACCATTGAACCCCACTGGGAATTTGTTTTCAGCAAAACAATGGTATGAATATGTATCAATATTCTTCCTATACATTATTTAATATTTTCCAATTCAGATTTCATTTGAATTGATTCAGAGGAATCAAATGTTAATATTTTTCAAATTTTTAAAGTATATAATAGGTCACACGTGTTCTATAAGTTACAAACATAATTTTAACTTTGTTACTTCTTTAATGACACAAAGTGGCACATACCTAAGAATACACACAAAAATAACTTTTTTTAATACTGCTTTCCTGCTGTTTTCTTAAAAATAAATATAAGGATAAAAGTTTCATAGCTCAGGGGTTAGAGCAGTGTCTTGTAAAATATAAATTTATTGCTGATATAGGAGGATTTTTGTTCAAAATTTGTCTCATTGTGGCTATCTATGAAGATGATGATTTCATAGTACATAAGATAAAATGCCTTGATTTTTTTTCTGAGTAAAAAGTGTTATAAAAGTATGTAAAACTTCTTACTAATCTCTTCGGTCTTATCACTTTCTAATTTTTTGTGACATAACAATAAATGGAACTAGGAAAGTCTTGATGAAAATTATGTCAATTTTAGTACATTTTACATGTTGCAAATATTCAAGTGTTATATTAATTATCAAATATTTATTGAGGTTTATATTTCTACATTAAAGACACAGAAACATCTCTGGATTATAATTATTTATAATCAAACAGTTTTTAATCTCCTAAAATGGATTTTTACTTCCTTAGTCTAAACTCCAGAAAGATCAACATAAAATGTAAGTGTATAGAGGCTTATTTGATCATATAAATATTGTATTTATTTATATAATCCTGCCTTTGAAATCAGATTTGCCCCAATTTGTTTCTAGTCATTTCCTTTACTAAAATACTTTCTTCCTTTTAGAACGGGATCTGTTCGGAGCTGAACCTTTTGACCCATTTAACTGTGGAGCAGGGGATTTCCCTCCAGATATTCAATCAAAATTAGATGAGATGCAGGTAACCATCTTAACACATTGAACTATAAATGGCTTATCTCTTTTAAATTTGGGACAAAGAAAATGTTATATATCAAAACTACTCTTTTCTTTAATTATTGTCAATATAAAAATTACTTAAAAGTAACTACATTAAAAATTACATCTAGTTCTAAAAATACGACTGATAAGGATTAAGTTGTTGATTTTTATTTTTATGGTTCAATTTACCATGGAAATACGATGGTTCCTTTTTTTTTAACAATATGGCATGGATTCTAATGGATTGTTGTTTGAAATCCAGAAATTAAAAGGCCATTGCAATAGATTTATAAGATTTCTCAGTCTTAACAATTTCAAAATTGTAAATGGGTAGATGTGGGAAAATCTTTGTAAGAGTAAAGTCATTCTGTCTGAAAGGAAGCATTGTAGCTGTGGTTCATAACTTCTGGGCTATTATTGAAAAAGCAGACACCCAGTGACAGCTTCTTTAGGAATGTAGTGAGTTGGGTTTTCATTTCTGTCTCCTTTTTCACTTTTGAATTCTAAACTGTTCTGAAACATTGAGCAAATTGGGTTTAAAAGCTTTATACAATGCTCCATGATTAATAAGCAGGCTTGAAAAGACTGAAGTCTTCTCTTTATATTTTCCCTTACATTTTGATGAAGGTATTAGGCCCTATTATTTATGAAAAAGTTTCTATATGGTAAAATCCAGATAGACACCAATAAAATGAAGGTTCATGAGAAGAGATGGTGAAGACATTAAGGCAATATGAAGTGGGTGTTTCCATTAATTAGTCCTGAGTTACTCCATCATTCTCCATGCTTCACTCCTTCCCACACATACACCCCCCAAAACTTAGTGGGTGAACTCTGATCTAACATTAGTAAACATGTTCCTCTTCCTGGAAAAATAATACAAATACCCTTCTACTCATTTTGAACTGTCCTATTTTCCAAGTATTATGTGAACTCCTTATTTTTGTAGATTTAATCCTGTGTACATTTTAAAAGTTGAGTTTTGAAAACATATTTATCTTGTATTTTCAAAGTAGATGTTAAAACAATATTTTTCAAGTTGGATGATTTGTAGTTCTTTTTTCTATGAAAATTTTTTTTCTATCTGTAAAACCTACTTAAATTTTTATTTCCCAAATATTGACAAAAAAGTTATAAACAACTTACCCTTACATTTATTACATAATTATGAATGCAAAAAATAATTAAATAAAAATGACATTGAATCACCAACAAAATGCAAATTAAGAACTTTAATGTTACAGAGTGGGTGATATTATATGGCTAAAATTAAAATGACTGTATTAAATTTCTGCTTTTTTCAATAAGCATCCTTTCTGATTATGCAAATTCCCTACCTTTTTATGTATTTCAAATACTATGAAAAATTTACTCAAAACCTGCATGATTAATTATTGATGATGATGTATTTCATATAAAATCAACTCCTTTTCTTTTCATCATTTAACCAATTAGGTTTATACAACCAGGGACTAATGAGTTTGTAGGAACAACACAAACATGGGCACTGATAGGGCAGTACTTGTTAGAGTGATGCAGGTCATAAAAACTACTTGGCTAGGAAGGTTTTTTTTATCACAAAATTTAAAAATTCTATAGATTTTAAAAAACGAGCCTCCATCTCACGATTTTTGTGTCAATCAAGTTTGAGAAACACTATCAGAATGATTGAATGATGTGTTGGTCAAAGAACTTTAAACTGTGGTGCTTTTGTTTTTGTTTTTGCTGTTTTTAATATTTTCTTAATCTCTTTTTTTATTCTCATCTGCTTTCATGGTGGGTAGCGCCAGCGATGGTTGGTATATTATTTTCAACAACTTACAACCTTTTTAAAGCTAAAAGCTTAATGTTGCATGCTTTATTTAATAAATGTTCAAACAGCAATTTCATATGAATATATCAGATCATTAGTTGTGGTTAAAGTTTTACTATTCACAATTTAAGGTTATTTTTTCCATGATTTAGTCACTCTTGTGCTTTTCATCTTTTTGATTGTTTCTTCTAGTGCAGAATTTACTTGTAAAATCACATTAAAGTAAAATAATGTTTTATTTACTTAAGTCTATGATGAATTTTGTTAGTAACCTTGCTGTTCCTAATTAACTATTGTGCACATTTAACTACTATTTCTATCTATGCATATCATGTAAAAGGCTAATATAGTATAATAGTTTCTGGATGCTGCATTGAGTTAATAAGCCTAGTGAAATATTGTTTTCCTCTTTGATTTACAGAGGATTTTGACTTAGTAATTCTTAAGAGAATTCAATTGTTTCAAATCACAGAATGTCTCATGCATCTAAGACTATAAGCAGAAATGCTAAGCTATATTTCATTTTAACTAATTAGAAAATTAGATATTTATTTGAAATCTATAATATAGTTATTTGAACTGATATAATTTTAACCGAGTGGCACATGTCTCCTATAAACTAATCAGTGGGATAATATTGATGCCCAGAAACATACTTTGTGAGCCATAATAATTTAATATGCTAAAAAACAAGATGGGTAAGTCATGAAGGATGAAAGAATTACGCACAAATGGTGTCAAGTCAATGGTGAATAATTTAGGAGAATATTAATGTCCAGGTAAATAAAACTTACAATAATATCCAAGTAAATTTCAAAAGCATTAGGCAGTTAAAAATGTTTGAAATATATGTGAATATTCATCAGACTTTTGAACTGGAGATAGATTTTTATAAGGAAGAATATACACATGTAGTTTTTTTATATTTATTTTTTAGTTGTAGTTGGACACAACATCTTTATTTCACTTTTTCATTTTTGTATGTGGTGGTAAGGATCGAACCCAGGGTCTTACACATGCGAGGCGAGTGCTCTACCGCTGAGCCACAACCCCAGCCCCACATGTAGTTTTATAAAGTTCTTTATAATCTGTTCCACTGGGATATATAAATACTACACACACACACACACACACACACACATAAATAGACAAAAATTAGGAAACTAAACAATCAACAGAAAAATAAAAAACAGAAGATCAAAAAAGAAGACCACATGCAGCTAACATACATACAGGTATTGTCTAATAAAAGGAAACATACAAATTTAAAGAATTTCAATGCCATTTTGATCTAGCAAATTAACTACTTCATTTTCTTACTAGTAATTAGCACAAGTGAAAGAATGCTTGCAACAATCACTTTAAGTCATTCACAGCTTCCCTTTGGATGGTAATTTGTTAATAATATTTTAATTTGTATCTGGTATTAAAATCTTTGAAATAGTCTATTATTTTCTGAGGAGAAAATAATTAGAAATTTGTTAAATCTCTATGCACAAAAATATGATACTATCTATATTCATGATTGTAAAATACTGGAAGTTAATAAGTAATTGTAAAATTTAAAATTATATTGTATAGTCAGGATAAATTAGTTTTATTTGAACTGCAATACAGGAAGTTGGTTCTGGTAGAGAAAATAGAAAATTATAGCTGATATATATATATAATATATTACATAAATGAGAAAGTTATTTATGCTGTCATTAAAAAACTATACATAGGAAAAATATAGACTCAATACTTATGTCAGCATTTAAACAGTTGTTACATATGACACGTTTTTCCTTGATATGCTTTTCTCTATTTCAATAAGCAATGCAGTTGAGCAAAATATTTTATATAATTTATATGATTAATGTTAACTGTAAAATTATTCTTTTTGTGATACTAGTTAATGATAAATCCCATCAATTCCTAAAAAAAAAAAGGACTCATTTTTCATTCAGAAGTTTAAGATTCAAGACAATATGGAAATGTTGGAGGGATGCAGAATTAATTAAATTATGATTCTCAAAATGAAACTTCTGAAGGAAGGTCAAAAATGTGCAGGAAATTTCATTTTAGGAGGAAATAAAACCAAGGAGCTTTATAAGATGTATGTGCTAATTAGGATGAGTAGATTTCCTAAGGGAACTTTGAAAGGATCCTTTAAAAATCACCATGGAGATATTGTTCTGCTCTACAAACAAGTATTGAAATAATGTTTGATACCTACTTAACTTTGCTGTTTTGCCTTTAATACTGATGACATATTGATAGTTAATATTTTCAGGATAAATGAAGTGATACTAGTTTAATTTCAGAATGAACTGATAAAATTAAAACGCCATATGGTATCAGTCCTTTCCAAAGGTAATTATCTGTCTAGTTATCACTTCTACCTATGTACCTATCCCATATCATACATTATATACTAGAAGATGAGAGTACGTAGCCCTTCAGATATCCACATAAAATGTTTTGAAAGTATAGTTTATTTCCAATATTTTCAGTTTAAAATATTCACTTTTTAAAGTAGTTGGTGGCCACTAGAAACTATGCATAAACTATGCATAATATGGGAAAATATTTCTTTTTGTAATACTAACAAATCTTTAAAAAAAAATCATGGTCAGTACTCTGACCTTTACTGAATTTAATTTGTATTTGTATTTAATATAATTTGTATTTCATATACTGAAAAGAAGTTTTGAAAATGCAGTGATAGCCTTGCTTTATGCTATACATATAGTAAAGAGCATGGTTAGAATATTAATTACAAATAAAGGGTGTCTTGCAGGTTTATAAATACTGTCTCCTCTATATGAAAATGCTTGCATTGGCATTTAGAAAGATAAATGCTTTTAAATACGTAGTCTAATTGGTTCCACAAGGAAACCTCCAATGTGACCTTTAGTTCCACTGATTGTTGGGAGTCTACACTTTTCATAGTGCATAGACTAGGGGCCAGTAAAAAGATGTAGGGAGAGGGTAAACCTAGCAGTGGCCCACAGTTCAATTGTCTTATGCAAAATAAAAGAGCTTGTGGTGGAGAAGCACATATTTTTTTTTCTTTTTTTTGCCACAAAGTTGTAATAAAAAATGTTAGGGGAAATAAAAAGCACAAAATTTTCATGGCAGTGACGCACTTAAGGTCAATAAATCAGCAGCAACTTAACTTCTAAAACATGCTGGTGGAAACAGGAGTTCAAGGAGGCAGAACAATAGCAGGACTTGGGAAAGTTTCTCTAAGGCACAATGGGCTCTGCTGCACCCAGAAACAGCACTACATTTACAAAATGTATATTACCCAGGCTCTGACAGAGTTAACCAGGGAAAAAATGATGAAGATTACCAGGCTATCTTGAACTTCTCATCACCATGAGGTGTAGCTCTCTTGATAATATTTAAATTAATAATTATCTTTAAATTCAACAGATTAAGTCACAGTAGAATTGACATATTAAATAGGTTCTACTGAAAAAGAAGCATTTAAGTCTTAAAAGTACTTAATTTCCTATATTGTTACTTTCTTCTGTTTCTCATGCATGATAACCTCACATATATTTAAATCATTAAAATTTTAATAAGTATAAAAGAACTGCCAGTGATGTACATCTGTATAAAAATTCGACAAGCCAGAATTTTGCATATGATTATTTTTTAGTTGATTGAAGTACAAAGATTTCAACTTTTGTTCATCTTCTCTTCTACTTACTGATTTTATTTTACTTTGTCTTGGGCATTTTCTATTTTAATGATTTTATTCTGTCTTACAGGAGGGGTTCAAAATGGGACTAACTCTTGAAGGCACTGTATTTTGTCTCGACCCAGTAGACAGTAGGTGCTGATGTCAAGAACAAGAGTCCATCCCTGTTAATTTTTTCGTATACACATATATCATTCATTATTACTTTGAAAGGTATTATACATGTGCCAAAATATATTTTAATATCTTAATATTTTGAAAGTCATCACGATAAAATTTCTTCACACTCACTGTTGATCTGTAATTTTATTTTAAAACAACTTAGTATTATGTATAGCATACTTTAAAATTCATTTGTTTCTGTTGTAGTTGAATTTATAATTGAAAGAGATTATGCAAATATCTGCTTTGTCTAAGTTCTAAATAATTAGCACCTTGAAATTTGTGTTCATTCTCCAGGCTGTTAATTTATTATTGATGTTCAAAAAGCCATACCTTAATGAAACTACTTAAAATTCTGAAGAAATATACCAATGCCAAACTAAACATGCCCTGTTTTCAAAGGAAAAAGCATGTTGCCATTCATTTGACAGATGTCATTCTATGTATAAAATGTTCACGTTGTTGGGAAAATTTGAATTTTGCCTACTATGCTACCAGGTCACAAATTTTTAGTTGGTTAAAAAAGGATAGAAATTCCAATAACAATTCAATCAAATGTATTTCAAATATTAGTAAATACAAGCTAATAATATTAATTATTGTTATTAGTTATATTAAAAATGTTAAATTTATTTCATAAATGTGGAAAAAATAAAAAGTTATGAAATCTTAAAATTTCATTTCTAATGTGTTAAGTTACATTGCTATGACAGCTGAACATCATGTGAAACATTTGGAATATTTGCTCACCATAGGTGCAATGCCTAGCAACCATGCTTACTTTGCCAAATGCATTTCTCGTCACTAAATAAGGACTATCATAATGTCATATTCTCTTCTTTGATAGAGATATTTTTCCTCACCAAAGTTTATTTTCTGATCCCCCATTCATTTGATACTTTAAAATTTATGATAGCTATCTATATAAATTATCAAAATATTTAGTCAATACCATTTGTCTTTGTTTTGTTGAATCAAAATCTCATTTTTTCATGAAAATTAAGTTTCTATTCAGCTTCCTCTTGAACATGAGCAATATAAAATTCTCTCTAGCACCTTATTTGTGATGTGCTGATGAACCCTGACATTTGAAAATATTTGTTTTCTATATCTTTGCCCATCATATAACAGAATAACAATATCAATGTGGCAAAAATTGATGGTAAAAATTTTAATGTAGCTTATCTTTATCACATTATAAGAAAAATAAATTAATGAAAATATAGGCTTAGTTTGAGGGTAGCTCTCAAAAATAAATGAATATATAAATCGGTTCTTTTACTCATGGAAATTTCTTCAATTGTTAAGGTACATTTTCACTAGTAAAACAAATCAAATATGCTTATGCAAAATTGTATGTATTTCCATTATATTTTATGGTATATATGAACCTTCTTGTTTGTGTTATTATCTGCTAAGTCATATGTTAATTAGAGGTAGTATATGTTTCATAATGAAGAGTCTTTATAATTTTGTTTGTCATATAGTATTTTGGAATTTATATAATGAGGATGATTAGAAGCCACATAAATGGCTTTTTTTAACAGATAGAATTTGTATTTTTATTGTACTTTAAAAAGCTTTATGTAATAGGTATATATATATATATATATATATATATATATATATATATATATATATTAGTGGCCATTTATTATCAGTGGTAACACAATAGAGTACTAAGAGGATATTTGCACATTTAAGATGTTACTTTACCAATTTTTAATGGTAATCAATTCTGCTACTGGCATGATTAAATAGTGCATAACTGGTCATTAATTATGAACATCGATTTCACCAGTGCATTTTTATGAATATATGATTGGAAATTGTATTTCTATGTAAACTCAATGATATGTTTGATTTTGCTGAGAATAAAAGTTTTTAAATAAATTAAATTGTATCATTTACTCATTAAATAATCTCTAGACATAATCTGCAGCTATGTACAATAAATTTCCTTGGTTATTAAAGCTGAAGAAAGAGAAGCAGGAAGGGAGGGAGAAAGAAAGAAAAAAAGGCAGGAAAGAAAGAAAAAGTCTTTACTTTTAGCTTTATTTCCTACAGCCCACACACATTTTAGCTTTTTTGAGAAAATATCATTCAGTTGTGAAAACATGGACATGATCCTGCTGATGAGAGAGGTCACGATTTTGTTCCTTTCACTAGAAGCATCTGGTGCAATAACTATATTATGTAAATAATTTCTTCCCATTGTTGGGGAATTTTTAAACTAGTAAGACAAAGAGTGTCTTAGCTCACAGTCTCAAAATGTGGACTTGATAATATAATTTTTGTTATGGCTAATTGTGCAATTATGAAGTTTTGAATCTATCCAAAACATAGTGTTAATCATCTTAGAACCACACAAGTCTCACGTACATTGCCTTTGTACAGTGAATAAGTCCCAAATTCATACAATAAAATTCCTTTATTACTCAATAAATGTGAATAACATGTATTATGTGGGTAGGAAAACAGGCAGTAAATATGCTAATAGATATGTTAAATTGACAGGCTCCCAGCCTTCAGTAATTTTATAGTCATAAAGGAAAAAGAAAATTATAGAGCTACTAAATGAAAACCAGTGAAACAAAACCTTCCCTGGGAACATTTGTATTTCACTGTGTTTAAATTCAGGTACTTTTCCTATGTTAGTGTCTATAGTGTCAGATATCCAGTGTGAGGTTTATCAAGACAGGATAATGGCAATAATTTTCTTCCTTTCTTCTTGTTTCTTGGGTTTTGGATTTGAAGTTTTTTAATTTAGTGATTTGATGGGAATTCGTTTTCAAATAGAATTTCTGATAGATTTTATGATGTTGCATTTCTAACCACTGATATATTTTATTATTTTTGATGTTACTATAACCGTGAAAACAAAAACTGGCTGTTAATATTTTTTTTTTATTTCAGTGTTTCCAACTATAGTTCCAAATTCAATATTTACTCAGGATTTTGGGTTTCAGCCTCTGTTAAATAACTTATCGAATCTTGGACTCACTTTTGACAACTAAATCTCAGACTCCACCTAAACTGGATCCCCATAAGCAGCTAGCAAATTGTTGATATGGGCATGACTCGTGTTCTCCACAGACTCATGTGTTTCATACAGTAAGTATCTTCTCCTTATAACTTCAGACAAATTTTTTAAGAACTAATCTCTCCAATGCCCTCTCAAAAACCTTACCCAAACCTTAATTCTTATACAATCATCTCATGGTCTGATCATATGTTGTTATATAAGGTCCAAGGTAACAAGCTTATGAAATTTTCTTCCACAAAATCAATTTTCTCTTGAATTCATCCATAGTGGAGATCCCTTTACTCCAGCAAAGACACCAATCCCTAAAATCATTAAATCTTGTATTTCTTTGCTTTCTAATGAATTTTTATGAAATAAGGATATTACTTAAATACATTGCCTTTCTCTAGATTAATTTTCCACTTGTCTTCACAGATTTTCAGCAACACTATTTCTTAAGCCAGAGTGAAAGAATACACAAAAGATAGCATACTTAAGAAGGCATTGAGTTTAAAATCTTTTTCCTCATTTCTCTGACATTACATGATAGCTTGATAGCTGAAATCCTTGTTTCTGTATCACTAAATTTTGTTTTGTGTTAATGAATACTACCAGCATGACTGTAACAAAATTTGCAAAAATCTACCTTATTTAATTACCTTAGCCACAATTTGGCATTTGTTGAGATGACTGTTCAAAACTCATTGAAATAAACTCTTCCAATTTGCAGACAACTCTATAGATAATTTAGAACATTCTTTATGACTTTTAAGTGCTGCTATTTTCATTAAAGTTGACTGGACTTGATTATGTAAAAGTTATCATCTGATTCTCCTGTTTACACTGTTCCTACTAAAGAATATTCTGAAATCCCATAGCATTTTCTTGGTACCTTTGGCTTAATCAACTTATTAATATTTTTTCAAAAATTATTAAATATAATCTTGGAAACACCCAACTTTTTATTTTTAATAAAATATTCTTTAGAAATTTTCTGTTCCACCATCTTGAAGTGAAGGATTACTTTGACATCCTTGTATCCTCTTTGGTACCAACCACAAATTTTTACCCATAAGCATTCAGGAAAAGGTTAAATCATTCTTCATCATTCTTCCTGCTCATGATGTGAACTCAGGTTTCTTGTGCTGTCTTAGAGAAGAATAACATATCTTCTAGATAAATATTAGGAGAAGATAACTACTTTCTCCTCTATAAGTAAATGAAATCTTTACTGTTGTGTTAACACTCCACAGCAATAATTTGCTAAATAAAGCTCTTGATAATTATCTAAAAGCATCTAACAACAACCACAGAATCACAGGCTAAGGAAGCCTGGCTCAATTGAAGTAGGAAAACAAAAGAATGATTATTGAGCTTCAGAGATGAATGTTATATAATTAAGAAACATTCCCTACATTCAAAAGGGTAGAGAGCTGTATTTGTTCAGCATGTGTATTAAAGAATGAGAGTCAGAAATTCACACTGTAACTTCACTTGAATTCCATATGTGGGCACACATTTTTCATTGGCTTTAAATATCTTTAAGTTCATTTATCTTTCCTTAACTTTTCATTGTCATCTTCAAATGAGATTTCACAAGAACATGCTGGGGTCCTTCCCAGTTGCCTACTCCTCCCTCTGTCTGGTCAGCCTGCTATGTTCTAGTCTGTTCCAGAGGTCACTCCTTCCAATAGAAATAGCTGTCTGGATGGCCTGGAAATAATCCAGACTGGTTCTTTCTTGCAAAGAAAGCGAAGAGAGATATTTGTTTCTTGGCTGCATTTTGAAAGGAAAAAAAGTAGAAAAATTTTATGGCTGCATCTACCAATACTTGAAAAAAATTAATATTATACTAGGACCCATTTAAAATGGGTATTATTTTCTTATGCTTTGTCTTCATTATACTTTTTAAAATGTTTTTTAGTTGTAGATGGACACAATACCTTTGTTTCATT